AGAAAAATGGTGGAAAATGAGAGGAGGTGAAGAGGCTCCAAATAATAGGCCAAATAGCAGTTTGATGTGGAAAAAAACAAAACAAACAAAACCTGCTAGCAAACCAGGTATCAGTAGCTCATATCTGTAATCCTACCTAGGCAGGATTTAGAGGATGGCAGTTTGAAGCCAGTCTGGGCAGAAAAATCTATGAGATTCCATCTCCAAAATAACTAGAAAACTTGTAATAGGTTCTATCTGGAGGCTGAAGGAACATTGTTAGCTTATTTTTTTTCCAGCTTCTAGTGACCATTAGTATTTCTTTCTCTGTGGTGTCTTCTTCCATCACCAAAGCATAATCACCCCAACTCTGCTTTCATCACATCACCCCCTCTCTAATGAAATCTACCTATGTTTGGTGAATGGAAACTCCTTTGTAAAACTTCTTAATCATCCATCTTTCCCAACACACCCTTTCCCTCATTTATCTTAATTTTGGGTTATGCATTAGATTTGCCATTTTTCTCAGCAGTTGGTGTACAATGCATCTTAATCTGTGTTGTCACTTTAACAGTATCACCACTTTTGACTCTCTCCTTCCCTTATATTTCTCAATTCTGTGGTATGTACAGTTAATACTTGCCTGTATTCTACCCCTTCTCTCTTCATTCCTTCCACTTGGCCTCACCTGCCCCTCTTACTAGTACCCATTTCCTGGTATTTATTTTGTTGGACTTGACTTTTTAAAGAACTTTGAAGAGTTTATTTTTTAAGAATTATTCTATTTGCACTCTCTATCACAGAGTCTATCACACTTCAGTTAATTCATTTGTAACCCCTTGCTCACCCACTGCATGCCCTCTGGTTTTTAGAAAGTTATAGGCACATTGTGGCTACCACAAATGAAGGAAATAATGGAATCTATATTTCTCTGTGTTTAGTTTAAGGACAGTCATGATTATAGCCATGAGGGATCCATTTGAATAATACAGTCTCAAGATTCTTAATCAAATCTTCTTTCTTTACCATCAACACCCACAGGTAGCATGAATTAGATTGTAACTATTGAACCTACCATAATGATCCAGCAAGAATGAGCTGTTTTGTGCAATCCTGAACATAGCTAGCTATGGAAAACTGTGGATTGTTTGAAGTGTAAAATAAAGTGCTTTGATTGTTAGAACTTTCCAAAAATAAAGAGACACTTCCTTGTATTTGTGAGAGGATAGTAAACTGGATTTTTTTCCAGTTCTAGGGCATTAACTCAAGGTGTGGGCACTGTCCCTGAGCCTTTTTGTGATCAAGGCTTGAACTCTACCACTTGCATTACAGTGCCACTTCTGGCCTTTTGAGTATTTTATTAGAGATAAGAGTCTCATTGTCTTTTCTGCCTGGGCTGGCTTTGAACCAAAACCCTCAGATCTCAGCCTCCTGGGTAGTTAGGATTACAGGCATGAGCCACTGGTACTTGGCATAAACTGGATTTTAACTATGCCATCCCAACATAATACTTGTGACATTCCAAAGTGCTAGGCAGAACCACATTTTTCAAAAATGATTCTATAAGGAATTGTTAGAATAAATTACACTTTGCCAGAAAATCATGCAGACATCCAGGTACAGAGAACAAAGAAAGGTTTATTGCCTGCCGGGAAAGGAACCGCAAGACCCCTTCCCACAAGGGAGAAGTGAGAAGAAGCACCGGCTATTGTCTGAGGTGACCTATATAACCTAAGAGGCTTAGGAGGAGCTAGAAGGGGCTAGGAGGAGACCCTGGTGTGGATGTGTGGGCCAGGGGCTACATCATGGCAGACTAGGATTTATGGCTGCTGTCCAAATGATAGATAAGGGGTCCTGCAACTGCCCAGACCTGAAGGTCACTGTAAGGGGCTCTTATTGCCTTATATGGTGGTAGCTGCCCCAGAGAAGTGCCATCCTAAGATAAAGGAGGTTGGAGGCTGATTATTTACTGCATTTACTAAATGGGCCTAGTGTTGCCTAGGAAGGGAGCATGCTAAGCTATGGAGAGGGGAAGAAGTGTACTAAGTTATGGGAAAGGAGCTCATTTCACTAACAGGAATCATATAAGGGGACTACCTATCTAGGATGGCTTTGAACTGTGATCCTCAGATCTCAGCCTCTTAAGTAGCTAGAGTTATAATCCAGCTCATTTTTATCAAGATTGCTTTGGTTATGGAAGGTCTTTTGTTGTACCATTTGTATATTCTATTTTTTTTTTTTACTATTTCTATGAATAGTGCCACTGGAAATTTAAAAAGATTGAATTAAATCTATGCATTTCTTCCTATTGTATGGACATTTTAAGCAATTTTTGTTAAGTCCATTACATAGACTATATTTTCATTCATTTACCTTTTCTTTGAATTACTTAATGTCATAGTTTTAAATGCACAAATCCCATCCTATTAAATACTTTTTTTTTTTGGTGCTAGTCCTGGGTTTAACTCAAGGCTTGGCCACTTTGTCCGAGTTTTTGTCAAGGCTAGCCATCTACCACTTGAGCCATAGCTCCACTTCCAGCCTTTTTTTTTTTTTTTTGTCTAATGGAGGTAACAGTCTGACAGACATTCCTAACCAGACTGGCTTCAAACTGTGAAGCCATGACACTAAGACTCTCACATCTCTAGTTGAAATGTTATTTTTAATAAAACTAGCTTTGATAAAAAAAAATCAACTTACACTTTTCAATTAATCTGCACCAAGATTTTTAAAGTTTATTGGTGCAAACCGTATCGAAATTTAAAGTTTATTTGGTGTTACTACAGATTGAGGTATTGGTTCAGCTGATTTCCATGAAACTCACTCCAAACACAGGACAATTATGGGGTAAAAAACTCAGTAATTAACAGGAATTGGGTAAAAAATCATGATAAATGGCCGACAGAGGCACCGGGAGAGGCGGGATCTGGAGATCATGCCCTGGGCCAGGACTTCAGCACCCACTGACCGAGAAAGTTAATTGTGAAAGCCAACATGGCCACAGGAGGAGGTCCTTTTGGCAAAAGTATGAACAATCAGGATTTACCCAACTGGATCAGTGAGTGTGTTGACGATTGACTTAACAACATGGATTGAGGTGGCCAACCAAAGAAGGCAAATAGAATTCTTTTCATCAGAAAAGAAAAAGTTTGGTGTAGGCTTATTCAAGTTTCTGACTATATTACCAAATCCAAGACATTGTGGGAAAAATGAAATATCTGTTAATGTTGAGCATTTACTAATCTAATAGGTCAGCTTAAAGTACAAGAAAAATCATATGTGAAATTTCTCCAAAAAATTCTTGCTAGAGTAAATGAGGATGTTCAGACTATAGATTCAGCTGTGAGATCTTGTTCTGTAGCTGCAAGCACATCACTAAACATAGATGTGCAGTCTCAGGCTTCAGATACCATGAAAGTAGTACATGTGGCTCACCTCTATGAGGTGCTGGATCAAACTGCAAGAAAGAATATTTTAGAATGCCATTAAGCCCCATGATTGCAGCTGGTTACCATAAACAATAGAGCACTGAAAATGATTACTATATTCTGGTCATGGCACCAGTTACATCCCTCCATCACCAACTGATGAGCTCTAGACACCAATGTCAGCCCATTCACTGGCATGATTAAATGTCTCAGAAATATCTTGCTCAAAGGTGAAACCAGCTTCTCCAGGAGATATACCCCAACCACTACCATCATCTGGATCTGACCACAGCAAGTCAGACCCTTCATGGGGAACTTCCTGTAGGTGATCAAGGCTCAGAGGTGATCCAGGGTATCTAGGGATGCTGAGAGACCACCATGTAGGTAGAAGATCTGCCCATCCACCAATGCAGTGAGAGGAAGACAGTCAAAAAGATCTGTAAAGTTTTTCCAAACATTTGCATTTCCGTATTTCCTTAAACACTCATCATAGAAACCATAAACTTGTGTGCTCTCATGATTCCCTCAAAGAATGGTGATGCGTTCATGGTAACGAACCTTAAGAGCTAGAAGCAGTATGACTGTTTCAAGTGAATAGTATCCTTTGTCAACATAATCTCCCATAAACAATTTGTATCTGGTGATTTCCCACCAATTCTAAACAGTTGTGTGATTTTCCACCAATTCTAAACAGTTGTATAAGATTGTGAAATTGCTCGTGCACATCTCCACAGTGACTGGACATGGAACCTCTTGTACATGGGATTCTTTTGTCAGGATTTCCTTAGCCTTCTCACAGGGACTCTTGACCCTTGACCTGGGACTCGGTTAGCTGCTTGCACTCATTCAGCTATTTTATCCACTGGTCCAGCTCCTTGGTGAGCTGCTTCATGTCCATGATCCACATGCTGGAATTGGAGACTGCTCCGTGCTGCTCCTGCACCACCGCCTGAACACCAAGATCAGTAGAAAACCCTTATACTTCCAGGTACATTGTAAAAAGCTTTGTTCATCACTGCAGTAGACAATCTCTCCCAACACAAACCACTATAGAGTCCACATTTTTCTTGGGGCTTCCTAAGGTCAAGCTTGGTCCCCATCTCTACAAAGACTTTTATATTTGTTATTGTAAAGATAATGTACAGAGGTGTTACAATTATGTAAGGTAAATGAGTACATGTCCTATCAAGCATTGTTACCCCCTCCTTTATTTTCCTGTACTTTCCTTTCTCTCCTCCCCGAATCCTCCCTCCCCTCTCTCCAAAGTTGTAACGTTCGTTTTCTACATAGTGTCTTGTACATCTCATTGTTACAGTGGGTCAACCCGTATCCTTATTTCAGCATTTTGTTATTTCCCTTCCCCTCCCCAAATTAGAATATATATACAAGATTCGGGTACCAGAATCAAATACAGTGAAAACAGGGATTATACCATGGGGGAAGAATATACAATGTACTACGTGATTTTTCTTTTTCTTTTATAAGTACATTAAAAGCTACATCAAAAAAGATTAATCCACTTGTGTCCCTATCTTGGGATTCAGGTTATGAGCTCACATGTACGTAGCTTTTGACCTTCTCTACTTGTCCTAGACATATTAGTTATTGCAGATAAGGGAAACCTTGGGACCTATGTTTCTTTAAGACTGGCTTACTTCACTTAATTTTTTCCAAGTCTTTCCATTTCCTAACAAATGAGGCTATGTCATTTTTTCTGATGGAGGCATAGAATTCCACTGTATGTATATAGCATTTTTTCTTGACCCATTCATCTACTAAGGGGCATATGGGTTGATTCCATATCTTAGCTATGGTGAATAATGCTGCAATAAACATAGTTGGGCTGATAGCTTTAGTATGGCCTTGTTTCTGATCATTCGGGTAAATGCCCAAAAGTTAGATTGCTGGTCATAGGGGAGCTCAATGTGGAGTCTTTTGAGGAACCTCTAAATTGCTTTCCAAAGTAGTTGAACAAGTTTATAATCCCACCAACAATGTAGTAGGGTTCCCTTTTGGCCACATCCCCTCCAGCATCTGTTATTAAATTTCTTGATTCTAGCCATTCTAACTAGGGGGAGGTGGAATCTCAATGCTCTTTTGATTTGCATTTCTTTTATGGTTAGAGACGTTCAATATTTCTTCATGTGTCTATTGGCTATTCTTATTTCTTCAGAGAACTCTAAGTCTTTACCTACTTGTTAATCAGGAGATTGAGGATTTATTGTTGGAGGATTTAATTTTTTGAGCTCTAAGTATATTTTAGATAGGAGGTCCTTGTCCATTGTATGGCTAGTGAAGATATTCTCCCAATTGATGGGCTTTCTTTTGATCTTGCTAGCTATGTCCTTTGCCATGTAGAGCTCTATAGTTTCATGCATACCATTTGTCCAACCTTTCTTTGATTTGTTGTGTTTGTGGGTCTTTATTAAGAAAATTGTGGCCTGTGCCAAGGAGAGCTAGAATTCGCCTATTCTTGTAATGTTTTCAGGGTGTCTGCTTTGACTTCATACACCAGAATCAACTCCAGAATGGATCAAAGACTTCATGGTATATAAAGATCTAGCCTTAGTTTTCTACAGGCATTTAATCAATTTTGCCAGTACCATTTACTGAAGAGGCTGTCTTTCTTCCATTCTATTTTTTAGCTCCCTTTTTGAAGGTTAGGTGGCTATACATTTGTGGGTTGATTTCTGCGTCTTCAGTTCTATTCATTGGTCCTCAGGTCTGCTCTTTTGCCAGTACCCAGCTGTTTTGATTACTATGGCTTTGTAGTAATTTGAAATTTGGTATTTATATTCCTCTATTCTTTCTGTTAAGGATTGTTTGTGCTATTTGGGGTCTTTTCTTCTTCCATATGAATTTTGGGGTTGCTTCTTCTACTTCATTGAAGAATTAGGTTGGGATATTGATAGGTATTGCATTGAATTTGTAGATAGCCTTTGGCAGTATTGCTATCTACAAAGACTTCTTATTTCTGTTCTACCTACTCAGTATGAGATTTTTATTTCCCAATTCTGATACCTGCCCTGTCTCAGAAGAAGAGATGTTCAACCTGCGGATCCAAATCACAGTTGCTTTTGGATGTCATGTTTTGGAGCCAGTTTTAAGAAATACACTGAAGATAGTTTGTACTTATGCTTACCATAGTTTCCATCAACTGAAGGAAATGCCAAAGGAGATAAAGCACAAGAACAAAAGAAACTATGATTACTCAGAACTTGTACCTTCCAGAAACACTTTCACAAATACACTAGCTTATAAAGAGGCCCAAAGTTCATCTGTATTCTCAGAAATTTTAAGAAATGCTACTTAAAAGGAATGCAAATAGCTTCCCAAGGTCTGTAATAAGGAAAATTTCATTAGTTAACATTTTCTTAATGTTGTAAATACAAAGCAAATTTATAATGCATGTATCTGCTAGTATAATTCAGTGTAAGAATATAAAGAATGTAAAACAAGAGGTGAACCAAGAGTTGATTTTAGAAAAAAAGAAATCTGTGTTTTTATTTTTAAAAATGTCTTTCTAAACTAAAGTTAGATCTTTGCGTAGAAACCTGCAACCAGAATCAACTCCAAATAGATCAAAGACTTTGAGGTAAAAGTAGATATCTGGAAAATATTACAGGGAGGAATAGGGCAAACATAAGGGCTCCTTGATATGGGTCAAAACTTCCTTAATAAAGGCCTGGAATCACAACAAATCAAAGATCAAATGGATAAATTGGACTTCGTTAAACTGCAGAGCTACTGCACGGCAAAGGACATAGCTAGCAAGATAAATAGAAAGCCCACAGACTGGAAGAAGTTCTTCACTAGGCATATTCTAAGGTGAAGCATCCTAGAAGCCACATTTAGGTAGATGGAATATTGGAGTCTTTATTACACAGTTAGCAGGCTGATGGCCACCCATTTTTACAATGGTCTGAAGCCCCCAAATACACAAAACACGGTTAGGAAACAGGTCAGAGATGAAAGAAAGAAAAACAAGAATACCAACAAACCAATTCAACTCCAATGGAGAGCTGAATTGTGATGCCATGGTGACTGGAGATGAGTCAGAAGACAAGACATGATCACAGAGACACATGTGGCATGGCATAATGGTGGCTGGGATGGGCTGGGCCTAAATAGGGTCTCAGCAGGGGACAGGTCCACAGGTTACTAAATCTGCCAGAAATTACCAGTCCCAGGCACTGGACTATCAGCCAAGCGCTCACCCCTGCCTCCAGGGATATGGACATATCCATCACCTGGGAGTCAGATGATGGGTGGAGGCATTTTCCTTCCCCCAGCATGAAGACAAGATACCAGACCCTATCATCCACCATGTGGCCAATATGGCACCAGTCAGATCTGACCTCCTTACTTCATTCCCCACATTTTTTCTTATGTACATGAAATCATTGATTTTTTTTTTCTGTAAGAGATCTGAATTTTTCCCTGGGCTGTTCCCTTCTGTAATTTTTAAAATATATATACATACATATTAATAAGTTTTATTGTGAAAATACCATCCAGAGGGGCTACAATTACATGTGCAAGGTAATGAGTACATTTCTTATCAAGCATTATTGCCTCCTCCTTTGTTTTTCCCCTACCATCCCTTCCCTCCGATCTCCACAACTACACCCCCAACCCCGATGCCAAAGTTGTAAAGTTTGTTTTTCAACATAGGATTTTGCACATTTCATTGTTGCAATGGGTTCACCTGTATCCCTAAACCATTTGTTTTTTTTTTTTTCCCCTTCCCCTCCCCAAAGTATACCAGCATCAAATACAGTGAAAACAGGGGTTATACTGTGGGGGAAGAGACATAAAATGCAACAAAACTATCACCTTATAAATATGTTAGAAACAATAGCAAAAAAGTGAAAACCACTTGTGTCCTTATCTAGTGAAGTAAGCCGGGCCCAAAGAAACATAGATCCCATTGAAGTACCCGATTTTGGATGCCCCTCACAGACCACCAGACTGTTTGCAAACAGCAAAGAGTCATTTATTGCAAGCTCGAGCTTGGTCCTCGGCGCACTCAGTAACCAGTGATGCTAAGAGGCCCCCAGCACAAAATTAGCACAGCTTTTATAGTATCAAACAAGTTTAGGGGGTTTCCACACAAGCAAGTTCACAAGCTCAGGGGGTTTAAGTCCACCATGACTGTACTTCCCTTTTTCTGATGGAACACTTAGGCCACCTTTCTGTTCCTTAAGGATGGGCAGGGTTGGTGGCAACCTGGGTTTTTTCTGAGAACTTTCTCTTTGGGGGTTACTCTGAGGGCAGCACAGCTCAGGGGGTTTGATCTTAAAATGGAGTTACTATAGCTCTTCACCATGGTTTCCCTTATTTGCAATAACTAGTATATGTCTGAGACAAGCCTAAAAGATCAGATAAGATGATGTTAGGCAAAATGAACCCCTCCTGTTAGGCAAAATGAACCCCTCCTGTAATTTAAGAAGTCTCCAACAGTTATGCCCTGTATCTGCTCAAAGTCCTAATTTGGGGATTTAAACTATCCCCCACATATTACAACCCACTTAGATGACTGGCACATTCTTGCCCAGTTATGAAGCAGACAGACATTTAGAAAGGCATGATTAAAATTTACTTTCCCATGACTTCCTGACTCTGATCATTTTTTTTGGGGGGGGAGATCCAGTCATGGGGCCTGAACTCTGGGCCTGGGCGCTGTCCCTCAGCTCTTCAGCTCAAGGCTAGCGCTCTACCACTTGAGCCACAGCACCAGTTTCCACTTTTTTCTTTTTGCTTATGTGGTGCTGAGGAATCGAATGCAGGGCCTCATGCATGCAATGCAAGCGCTCTTCCACTGAGCCACCTTCCCAGCCCCTCAATTTTTGAAGGGGCAAACAGGATTTGATACCATCTCTGCCATCTGAGCAGTGACTTGTAACTGCCTCTGGATGTTTCATCATTCCCAGGGTCCCAGGAGGGTCTTTCTCCATGCTGGGATACATACACCTTGGGATTTTCCTTAATCACTGGACTTGAGCTGGAGAGATGAGGGATAGTGCTCTGGCCCTGAGTTCAAGGCTAGCAATCTGCCACTTTGAGCCCCAAAGTAACTCTTCTGCTGACCAATTAGAGATAACCTCACAGGGACCTTTCTCTGCCCAGGCTGGCTTTGAACCACAGTTCTCAGATCAACAAGTTTAAACAAAAGGCCACATTTACTCCAATTAAAAGCAACAAAGATGGTCATTACAAATAGTTTAAGGCATGGTCTACCTAGAACTTATTAGGGGCTGAAAGTTGTATCTAACAAACTTGTAAGAATCCTCACTCCTTTTTGTGGGCCTGCTGGGAACTGTTACAAAAAAAACCTGTAAGAGCAAACTGAAATAGCAATTAAGCAATTATCTTGGTAATCCTAATTTTCCCTTTTTGCACTTTGAGACAAATGTTAAGAACAATTTTACTTTCAAACTTTATTACCAGGAATTCATCTCCGATTTTTTTTTTTTTGCCAGTCCTTGGTCTTTAACTCAGGGCATAGGCATTGTCCTTGAGCTTCTTTTAGTCAAGACTAGCACTCTATTTGAGCCCCAGCACTGCTTCCTGCTTTTTCTGAATACGTGGTAGTGAGG